CTTCTCTCAAAAGCTTGATTTTAGTATAAGCTTTGCTAACTTCATCACTGAATTATTAAAGCTTAATAGTATATAGTATATTCTTTTCTTTGAATTATACTTTTCCTCCTCAGTCTCCTCCAAAGTGTTAGGTTTTAGAATGCCTTTCTTTTCTGGTTTTTAATTTTGTTATATGTACTTTAAAAATCTTTAAAATAATTAGAAAGCACATATCCAAGCAATTCGTGAAGAAGCCTTTTGCTAGATATATCTTTATTAAAGTCATTCCTAATCCTTTGAGAAAACTATAATTGTTGTCATCTTTAAATTAACAATTTTAAAATTAATTTTTCTCATTTTTTGAAGCTGCATATGACAATATATCCATTTTTTTTAGTTGGTAGTATCTATTTCTACTTATTTCAAGGTCAGCTCAGTAATAGCAACCATATTTATTTCTTAATGTAACACATAAATGAGTTATGTTTGATTTTATGAAGTTCTTTGATGCATTTCATTATATATATAAATCTGTATATTATATTTTTTATTCAATTTTTCAGTTGGTAGTTTCTCCATATGTTTTGACTTGATAATTAGATTCTCTATTTTTTTTTATTATCCTTTACAGATCTAAGAGTTTTTAAGTATTTTTAACCTAAAATTTATCTAGGATGCAAGTAATTCCTTAAGTCAACCATTGTTTCCTTTATTCCTTATCTTTTAGTTTGAAAATGCAATGGAATTCATATAAATAAATTCCTTGAATTTAATTAAATTGAATTCTCATATTTATTTAACAAATTTTTAGTCTCTTTGCTATAAAATATAAATTAAAGCAGAATTAATTTCATTTCTCTTTTGCAGATTGTATCATTTTTGGTTTTTCTATTCCATATTCTGCAACTTGCATTCTCAACCTTCTTCATAAACACTTGATCGAGAAACAATAGTTCCATGCCCAGAAGGTATAATTTTTTTGGCTCCCTGTATATTTTCTTTACATTCATATGTGTGTATATGTATATATAAATTAAGGATCTACTTCCATACAAATTTTACATATTTAATAAAGTCTTATTAAAAAATTAAAACATCTTAATTTTTTTAAAATAAAAATAAAAATATTTTAGTTTTTTTATAATACTTTATTAAAATAATATAATTTTAAAATATTTTTTCATCTAATTTTTTATAAATT